TGCTGAACCACATAAGGTGACTAAAGGAGTTTGCACTACAAAATAATTTTACACTTTGAAGAGCTAGATTATTGAGAATGATTTGTCTCTCGCTATGGCCATGAACTGGTTGAAGGAGTGCTCCAAGAATTTGAGAGCTCACAAGCCATTGATCAAAAATCAAGTTTTGAGTCTTCTGACTCACCGATTCTATTGAAAGCAACAATGATAAGTTGTGTAACTTCAAAGCTTTTCAAATAGGTTGGAGTTGACATTGACTGAGCTGGGTGAAGCAAGAAACTTGCATATAAATTTAAGGATTGCGATATTTGACTTCTTAGGATGGAATTTTTATTAAAAAAGATTTGTGAAATAGAAAATTCTCATGCCAAATAAAATGCTACGTTGAAGGTGAAGTTGTTTGAAGATCTAAATGAAATTGATTTTATAAATTACTACATTAACTTCTAGGATTATATGGACTAAATTTTTGAGAAGTACAGAAAAGTGATCAATTTTTGTTTGACGATATTGACTAAGAAAAAAGTTGAGAAACAAATTAAGCTTGAAAATTCTTAAACTATGATAAAATTTTGGAAGAATTGGTTTGGAAAGAACCTGCTTGAAACCTTTAAATAGGGAGGGGTGAAGCAAGAACGTTATTCGAAAAGAGAGATTTCTTGGAGAATTCTAGTTAGATTTCTAATGAGATTTAAAGTTTGTGCCCGGCCAGTGACACCTTATTCCAGGCGACAAAGATTAACACTACAAAATTGAAACATTGTAAAAGTTTATAGATAATGTATAGGTTGATCCCGCTGTAGTTAGCTGTGTGGCGGGCAAATCAGGCCTTTAGTCCTCTTTTAGTATGAGGAACTACTATCTGCTGGATTCCCATTATGAGTTTTCATGTTGAGAACTAATTTCGATTTGTTATTACTGTGAACAAATTGGTGGATTAGTTTGATGACTACTTTTGATTGACAGCTGGCACTTAGGCAAGTTTAACAACTTTGCAAGGAGTACCGAGTTTGATTTAACTCTTGCATGATTTGTTTGAGATGCCTTTATGGGTGGATGGATCCAGTCTTAAGGTTACTTTAAACTTGGCAAATGTTAAATTGTAGGTGATTTCAGCTTGTTTTAAATTAGTGGCTTCTTCAATTTGGTTGTTGTTCTTATTGTGATTTGATTAACTTGATCCAGGATAACATGGGCATGCAGATAAATTTATAGGCCATGATTGCTTGTGAATCTTATATTAAATTCTTTAATTAAATTTTACTTTCAGTTATTATTTTTTTGCTAGGAATAAATATCATCTTAGTTGGTTCAATTAGATTGGATATGTATGTATTAATAATTTCAAGGGTCATTTACAAACAGACCATGAAATTCTTATGTTCTAGGGGGACTGAACTGGATGGAGAGTGCAGAACCGGTTCAGCCAAGCTACTGCAAGGGCCGACCGGTCCAAAGTTGGGCTAGGTTTGCCACCATGGGGAGCCCCCCAATTATCTGCTAATATATATATTGTTGTTTTTTATTAAGGCTCAGTTTTTGCTGTGTTTTCTGTCAGTGCAGCTGTTGACTTTTTCAGTTTTTTTTTCCTTAGGGCTGTATCCCATGACAGGTGGTGCTTCAACTGTATCTTACCCCAAGACGGTGATTTTCTCCACTAAATCCTGTGCTTATTCTGTTCCTGCTCGCTGCCACCCTGCCTAAGCGCCTCCCCCATCCCTGTTTCCTGCCGCCAGCCCTACCATCACCTTACTGCTACCAAAACGCCTTCCCACTCACAATGTCTGCAATCCCGTCCCACACCACCTGTTGTTGCCGCAATCCCATGCCACCTCTCCCGCTGCTATCACAACCCCCTCCGATCCTTGCAGTACTGCTGCCAACCCCTTCACCTACGAGACAGCCACTGTAACCCTTCCTCCTCTCTTCCAGCTGCTGTCAAAAACCCCTTTCCAATCCCTGCTGTCAACGCAAGCCCCAACTTGCATCCCTACCTGCTGTCCGGCCGCCACCCATCACCTTCAACCTCTCCCTATGGTGTTGTTTGTGTTGTGCGTTTTATTTCAGTTCTAAGAACCCTCTTGTCCTGGTTCCACCATATTTCTGCAATAATATTTTCAGTTCGCTGTGATTTAGGTTACCTCTGGTGTCACTTTTCTTTTTACATTTATAGAACCCGAATCTCTTATATCACATAAAAGATATTTCTATTTTAACTTTTAAAAAGTGAAATACATATTTTCTGCATAGGTAAGTTGTCATGCATGTAAAAATTGAAGTTTAAATGTTAGATATGTAAATGCATAAGAATTGAGGTTGGTATGCATGTAAGTCTTCCTTATCTTAATAGACTGGCAAGCAGGTTCGATCAGACAGGAAGTTCATCTGCTGTGGCTGGAGCCTGAATATATCCATGCTGGTGGCAAAGCGGTACCGCTGCACCCACTCATCAACATGTGCGTGCACTAAAGGCCATCTGAGTGAGGATGCACTATTCCTCGTATTTCAGCACCAGAATTGGAATCCCAGATTGATCGCTACTCTGTCTTGTGTTTGCAAATGGTTTAACGATATATCCAAACGGGTTCTCTGGAAAGAATTCTGCAGAGCCCGTGCACCGAAGATGATGCTAGACTTGCAATCTAGTGGAAGCCACAGTGCTGATGGAAATTGGAAGGCGCTTGCGAAGCTTTTAATCTATTGTTCTGGTTGTAGCAAAGGTGGCCCTTTGAATAGCTCACCTATTCCAGGTCACTTTGTCTATAGGACACGGTTTTCAATGACATCAGGCAAAAGCTTTCTCATTCCTCAGTGCAGAACAGATGTCCTCTATGTCTCAGACCCTTGTGAGCATCTTGACCAAGGAGAGGATGGTGATTTAGGGTTTTTCCGGGGAATCTTCAAGTCATTTTCTGTTTCAAAAGTCAGGAAGATGCTGATCGACAAGGGTGCCAAACTCCATAAGACTGAGCTCTGTCCATTTTGTAAGGCAAAAATGTGGAGCATGCTACAGGCCAAAATGGTGCCAAAGAGTGCATGCAACAGGTTGGGTGCTTATGAGGACTGCATAGATTATTATGTTTGCCTTAATGGCCATATGCTTGGCATTTGCACTTTGTTACCATTATCCGATTCTGAGGAGGCGTCAGAACTAGAGTGATACTTGGTAATTTGATGACGTATTTCACTTTTATCTTGTTTTCTTCTTCTCACATAACCTCATTGTGTTGCTTGTTTCAAAATAATTTCTATGTTTTTCTTGTGTTATAATTATAGCAGGTGCAGTAGAGTGAATAGATTTTTTTCCCGTTGTCAGCCAATAGTAGAAATGGTATTAACTTCATCATAAAACTGTTTTAGATCTTTCATATAAAAATAATGTATCCATATAGTAGCATTCTTTGAAATTGATTAGCTGCTGAATTACATGAGAATTTCTTCATAAGAATATATTGTTACCTCTTTTTAACCCATTGGAATGATGGGAGACGTATTAGAAACATTGGCCTAGAAAAATTTTGTTTTTTGCTGGGGCATCAGTTTTTAATTTTGTGAAATGAAGATGATTTTTGTGGCAAGGAAATTAATGAAAACTTTTAAAGTCGGTGAGATGATCTTAACATTTTGTTTATTGACGTTGAAAATGCATGATCAAGTATAACAAGAATTGATTTCGCATGAATTAAGGAGAAAGGTGTATGTATGTAAAATGTTAAATTTAGTTAGTTTGTATTGTATTGATTGGGACTGGCATTTGAAGTAGTTTTGAAGTAACAATGACATTCCAGATTACAATAGAAAATTTTCAATGCAAAAGTTTTAAGGTTGTACCATTATTATTTCAATTATGTAGATATTTATGAAGACCATTCAAAGAGAGATATGTTGATTTATACTATTTTGCATATGGTCTTGTTTTAATAGTTATAATTGCTTTCGGATTAAGTCAAAAAAATATAATGAATGAAGAACTTGGATAAGAGTATTTGGTTACAAGGAAGTTAATAATAATTAAGTTGAGTAGTTTAGAATAGAATTTTTTTAGAATAGTTTGATCAACAAACTAGGACAAATATTATGGAAATGCTTATAATAGAGGGATGATCACCTATTGAAAATAAAATAATGGAAGATAGAATTATGTATGTATAACTATCTGCAGCAAAGGAAAAAATATACAACTTTGTGGCATGTAGATAAAATAAAGTTGAATGGATTAGATTGAACTTGACTAAAGTGATATGTCTAGTAACGCAAAAAGGTGCAAATAGAGTTGAACGCCTCAGGTAATGCTAAATAGGAATGTCTGGCGACAAGGGATTCATCACCTCAAATAGCTTGGATAAGACTATTGATGATGATGCTGATGACACCGGCTATGATGTTGATGACAATCACTCTTCAGTCCCTTGATTTCATAAATAGGATGGTAGCATGACTTGAGCATCTAGATTCTAGACTTAAAACGGCTATGACGTCGATGACAACCACTCTTCAGTCCATTGATTTCATTAATAGGATGGTAGCATGACTTGAGTTTCTGGACTTAACATTGCATATTTAGTAAAATGCATTCTTGAATGGATAATGTGTCTATTTTAATCATCTAGTTCATTTTTCAATTTCAAAATAATAGAAATATTTTTAAAAGCTTGAATATAATTTATAAATTTGACCTGTAAAACTTAGCATTGATATTGAATGAATTGATGGGCATAAGTTACTTGAATTTCTACCAGTTACCAAATTATTTGATTTGTAATTAATGGTTGTAATTCAGCACATTGGAATGTCATATGGATGCCAACTATTTTATATGTGATTCTAATGTACCTGATAATTAATAGCACTACATTTTTCTTCTAGCAGGTTGTTCTACTTTTCTAGTCAAATGATTTTTTGTTATTACTGCATCATGACACCATTCAAGCCAAATTTGTAAAGATGTTGAGATTGGTTGGTCTCGTTGTTTTATGAAGATGGCTGAGTTTGAAACTATAGGCAGGCAAGAGGAAATTTTTCTTTGGTATTTGTTTTCTCGCTCAGAATTCTGTCTGTGCTAATTCTTGTCGAGAGAATCATATTGACCATATTGTAAAAGTTGTACTGCATTCTCTATAAATGTATAGTTTGTGATCTACTTATGTGTCTCAAATGCTATTTTAGCATTTGTAATGCGTTTGTGCTAAATTTACTTTTCATTTAAATGCTCTCACTAGCTTTTACTTTTTCATCAGTGGTATAAATTATGGAATCATGCCTGCGGTTATCTAGGCATGCAAATCATACCAACAAACTTGCAGATATTCTACATTCAACTTGTATTCATTTTTAGCTGAAATATGTCTAAAAAATGCATTCAAGAGAATGATGCTGGTGGCTTGCCATGTTTAGAACTTTTCCCACCCTAGTGATTCGGTAACACAGCAGGCACTGGGCATTTTTCTTGTTAACTTATGTTCCATCTTTTTCTCATCTTAGCTTCATCATTCTGTTTCCTCTCCTTTTCAAGTGCTCTTGCTTCTCCAACAATTTAGTCAATTTTTTGATATTTCATCATAATATTTCTGGAAAGTTTTTGCACGTTTGTGTTTTGTATAATACCTGAAAAAATAAATAAATTAATAATAACCTTATTATTATTATTAGGAGTTTCAATTAGTGCAGTCATTTCGGGTGAGAACGACGCCTTGACAATTTTATTTCCACGAGAAGTGCTCCTTTCAAATAAAACAAACAGAGAGAACCAGACGAGAGGTAGAGAAGAAGGAAAGAGACTCAGGGAGATCAATAGTGTGAGAAGGAGAACGAAGAAGAAGAAGTAGAAGAAGAAGAAGAAAGGGAAATGCTTGCCTACGAGGGATGAAGACAAAGGTAGTAGAAGTTGGCTCCGATCGTGAACGACTTAACTGGGAGCCGATCTTCCTACAAAGGCAGGAAGATCGACGACACATGCAAGCTTGTGTTTCTTCATGCTAGAGAGTGCGTAGGAGAAAGGCAACACTAGCGAGAGCATCGAACTTGCTGCTTGGATGATCCCACACATGTGGCCACCAAAGGGAAGAAGTGTTGCTTGTAGGTGTGGAGTTCGCGAATGGCTCGACTGTGCTTGATGTTGCCTACAGTCAAAGGAAGAAAGAAAAAAAGGAGGGTTGTGTTCACATCCTATATGAAGGAGAAGTGAAGGAAGACATGGCATCGCAGGAGTTTCGGGTAGGTTAAGTGAAGACTGAACCGAGGCAATAAGGTTAAGGTTATCTTTTATTTTATATAAGATATTTTTTTAATTAATAAGATTATATTAAGTTATACTAATCTTTATGAAATAAAGATTATAATTTTTCACATTGAAAGTTATTATATTTAATTAATGTTAGGAGGACTTGCAAGAAGGTTTGCAGTGTAGATTCGAACTATAAAAAGGCAATTCAAATCATAGAATGAATGTTAGGCTAAGGCTTTATGGATTTTATGTTTTAACTATATAAATAACTTTAATATGTTATTAAGGTATATTAAACTTTATGAATTAATTTCAAAGGAGCAATAAGATCGAGTCGGATCATACAAAAGAAGTGAAGGAGGTAAGATTGGTGTTTATTTAGTAATCATTATAATCAAATTAATTATAAATTATTGCATATTAATGTTAGAATGTTATGAAATATAACCAGGTGAGAAAATTGAAGATGTGAAAAAGGAAGTTAAAGGATTTTCATAAGGTGAAATCAAAGTGACTGCTCTTTTAAGTTATAGTAATTTTTATTTCTTCTAAACTAAATCCATTGATTGTTATTGAACCTGATTACACTATTTTATTATGATTTAAATGCTCTTTTAGATATTGGTCATATCATTTTGATGAATTTACATTTAGAAATGCTACAATTATGCATTATGTGGATGTATACTTAATATGTTGAATTGAATGAAATAAACGTACGAATGATATGAATCACATGGACTGATTGCATGTGCATGCTTGCTATAATGAAGTTTACCTATTTATGATACTAGTAAGACAACCCTAAGGTACTTGTCCACGTAAATGGAAAATTATATTGATATTGAAGTAACTTAAATAATACATTTTTAGACGATGTTCTTGTGACAGTTGTACATATACAATATGATATAGATATGTTTTTAATATAGTTAAACGCATTGAATGTTATGAAATATTGTAATCGATCATATTTATAAATTATCAGATGTTTTTATACTGATTTATTAAAGTATAATTGATATGCATATTGTCTTATTTTTGTTATGTTACTGTGGTTTGGAAGTAGATATACTTACTAGTTTTTTTTATTTATTGTTGTTTTAAATTAATATTACATGTTTAATCATTTCATTAAAAGATGAGTAATAGAAAAGAAAATATTTATAAAAGACGCGGTCAATCAGAAATGAGGTAAAATTAATTGTATTATTTAAAATTATTTTATATAGTGACGCTCACATTATTAAAATGTTAGTTATAGAAATAAATATAAAAAAAATAATTTCTACCCTTCGACCGTTTGTGCTTAGCTTTGTTAATTCTAAGCCCCAGGCCGGGTTATGCCATTGTGGTTCTCACTTCTCTCTGCATTTGGTACATAAATATCAGATCAGTTTGGACTTTTGTGATTGTAATTAAAAAACTATGGAAATTCAGGCCAATTCATAATTGGGTAATGCTTTTTTTTCTTTTGGCAGCCATGCATGTTCAGTAAATAGTATTCCAAAGCGTTGCATGCTTATTAGAAGTTCCAAAGATGTCTAGACAAATAAAACATTACGTGTAGTTGATCCCCAAGCAAAACGCACCCCTTCTTGAGCCTCATTGATTTGTATGACAACTTGGGATTTTTTACTCTTGAGGAAGCTTTAGTTTATATTACTAATTAGATTTCGCTTGATATTAGGGGTTTTCGATGTTTGGGTTCAAAATTTCCTACATAAATAAGCTCCTATAATTTTGTTGTCAATTAATTATCCATTTCAATCATGGAAGAGAACTTACGATTAAGGAAGCCACAGATTTAATTTTTATGCTTAAATTTAGTATTTTAAGTTTCAACTTGATTGCATGTGGACTGATTAGAAATGTGGAGGTATGTTCAATCAAGATGTTATGGTTACGTCATATCGGGCTAATTAATGAACCTAGTCTGCCGACACTATTGGTTTTTGAGTTGTAACATCTAGGGTATGTAATTATAAACCATGGATTGAATCCTTTCAAATGAAGGCATAAGCGTTCTTCAAAGATTTGCTTTTATGGCTGCCTTTAACTCATTTACTTGCAGAGGGATTATTGTATGAGTTTGGTTGAGTGGTTAAGTGGTGTGCAACATGCTTACTTACAATTTAGATGGACTAGAAATGATCAACAAACTAAGAGATATGTCAAGACCACCAATTGTCCACGTGTTTCAATTTTATTCCAAGGGCCTAAGGTACATGATGGGTTTGTTTAGCTTGTTGATAGATCCATAGCTATCTTAGAGTTGAGAGTAAAATGGTTTATTTACTTGCCATACTATTGAATAGCTTTATCTTGAGATATAGTGATGCTCAATGTGGAGAGCTTTCACATGATGAGGAGATTGTTTAGACACATACGAACATTTTAGTTTAACATCTAATATTTGAAAAAATTAATTGATGTGGCAGATAAAGAAATTCACCCCAACCAGGAAATATTTCAATTATCATAATTTTGGGCACATTGTATTTAACTGCCCACGCGAGGGTGATATCTTTCACTGGGCATGAGGACTTAAGAAATTGACAGTAACATAGGAGAGGATAAAGATGCCAGAGAAAAGTATCTGCTTCTAGCCGACAAGGGAGATATGATAGTGGCTCAAGCAAAACCCACGAGAGAGACTCCAACATGACTAACATTTGTTGTCCTAGAAAGTAGTGACTCTACTGAGCCAATATAAAAAAAGGAGCAACCCCTATTATAGGAGTTCCTAGATAACCTGAATTATAGTTTATCTCCTAGGTGGTTGACACAAACAATGGTCCGAGATGCCATAGATTTTTATTCTAGAGTCGGTTCCTCCGTACGGATTAATTATTGGATGTGTTAAGCTGAGTACAAAGAATAGAAAAAACAGGTTAAATATTAAATGGCTTAATACTTGATTTGTAAGAATGTCTGTCTATATATAGTTCTGGCTCTAGTTGTGTCATAAAAATATGGCTATTATTCTATCTGGACATATTTTGGATGGACGTATGTATTTCATAGTTATTTTGGGTGGACATGAGTAAAAAACTTTATAATTGGACTTCTTCAGGCACAACAATGCAATGAATTTGTTCTAGTGATGATAGATTCATTCTAGAAGCTTCTCACAAACCCATATATCTCGTGAGAATAACGTGAGATGTTGAGGTTGATGTGAGCCGCAAATTTGGGCTAGGAATTAAACACTAGAGGAAGAAGCTAGCAAAATCTCTTCTAGCGCAAGCGATTGTGGGATTTTGCAATTGTGGGACCCTATGATTGTGGGAATCATCTCGAACCGATAAGGGATTTCTTACCTTTTTTTATTTTCACGGGTCTGATGGACCCTTTTTTCCTTTATTTTCTTCTAATTATAAGTACAAATATCGCATGTAAAACCTGATTTAGTAGATTTTTGGCTATTATTAGTGTTTAGAGAGGCTCTTTGTTTTATGCCCTTCAGATGGTTGTCTCATTTCCTTTTGCAAGTGGTGTATATGTATCTTGCTAAGTAACAGTTGGATCCTCCTTGTTGTTTGTACATTGTCGTTTCACCTTTTGAGTGTTGTTTTCAATCCATAAAGCTATCAAACGCGTCGAAGTTGCTGTCAAACAGCAGATTTTGCCGTTTTTCTCTTTCCTAACACCGAAGACCGCCCCTATCCTCATCTTGGTACCATTCCCCAATCACCTCTCTGCTAAAGTCGCTTCCTAAACAACTTCTAGGAGCCCTAGAATGATATCATTGGTGCCAACTTTCAAACGCTACACTATCTTTTAGCTTAAAAAAATTCAAATATCAAGTTTAGAAAAAAAAAAACAACTTACAAATTGCACAAAACAAATGCTACACTATCTTTAGTTTCAGGCATACATCAATCGTATCAAAAATAAATAAAACTAAGTTAATATTCATTTATTGCTTGTCTTCTAAATTCGCTGTCTCTTGTGGTTGGTTCATGTCTTTTGTGATTCGTTCATGTCTCGCTCCATGTGCTTTTTGTGTTACATTAACTCTATTTATGGATTTAAATTCTTTGATTTTTAGGGATGCATTTTCTTTTCATGCAAAGCCATTTTGAATGATAGTACAAGGTGAGGGTAGCTCAACTTTGAGAGAGATTATCATTGTCAACACCAACATAATGACTTATGTAGTGGATTGAATTTCAATTTTCATTATTCATTATGACGTCTGCGAAGAAAGTGACTCTTGTTTTCGTACCTGGACCGAACAGGTCGAGGTTTTTTTCGATGCTGAGGAGTTTGTCGGTACTCTTGGGCGGCTCTTTATTATCCTATTACTATATATTTGGTTTTCATGTTTTATATTGGAGTTTTCTTCATGTTTTTGTTCACGAGAGTCGTCGGCATTTCGGTTTCTTTTTTCTAGGGTTGTGTCCAAAGGTGAGTGGTGCTCTAGCTCATCTAAAGTGGTGACCTTTTTCCAAGCGTCGAGTGGTGCTTCAGCTGTAGCTCATTCCCAATTGAGTATTTATCCTCGACCTTTCCTTCCCCCCAAACCCCCACTTAGTTTCCGCACCTCTTTTCTCACTATAATTGTCCAGGACAGCCGTTGTTTCTATTCTTTCCTATAGTTATCCTCTTTCCAGCCACCTCCCTTTCACAATCCATCTTGTCCTGCCGTTGACCTTCCTCTTGTTGTTTCCAACAGCCCACAACCTTCTAGCTGCCTCATACCCGTTGCCATCGCCATTCCAGCCCTCCATCCTCACTATCCTCACTGCCCCAACCCTCCACAATCGCTATCGCAGCTCACAATGCCTTCCCTTTGTTTTTTTTCCTGCCATCTAGCCGCCCCAAAGAACAAACTGCCGCTGTTTGGACTGTTGTCCCTTGCTGCCCTGCTGTTCTAGCCTCCCATAATCACTTATGCCTCTCATACATAGCACGAAAACCATTTCTCTACCTTGTTGCCACCTCTTCAAGCCTCTAACCGTCACTACTATAACCCGAGATCGGTCTGATGTGAGTTGCTATTTTTTCTTTTAAGTGTGTTTGATTGTAACTGTCTATTTGCTTCCAGTAATATTGTTTGTTTTTTCTATTATGATTTGGGTCAACTCCGGTATTACATGATAGTTAGGCCGTCCATATGTTCGTCAAAATTTAACCGACTAGCAAAGTGACCAAGCATTTTTGTGCATTGATAACAAAAGTTTGAAGGCTCCTGTTATCTCTCTTTAAGTTGCTTGTATTGTTGCTTTGGTGCAAAAGTTTGCATCCTCTATTTTCATGTGTTTTTGTGGAGTTAAGATTCTGCAAAGAAATTTTTTCTGTTAGTGAGAAAACCCATTTATGAAAATATGACATTAAACAGGACGCAATGTAGAAAAAAGGATTCATGTAGTCGATCCCACGTAGTGGGACTAAGGCTTTGTTGTGGTGAGAAAACCCATTTATATTTGGGGCATTTACATATATACCACCCAAATTTTATGTATTTACATATCTTAATGAGAAAACCCATTTATTTTTTGTTCATTTGTGATTGCAGTGCGCATCTGTTTGCACTCTTTTGGTGAATGATTGAATGGATGTTGCAGTTTTTTTAGTGAATGACATGCCTGTGGATAGGGCCATCAAAAAAAGCTCATTGTTTGTATTTGATTTATCTTTGGTTCAACAAGTAGCTCGAGTTTGGTTATTTTTTATAAGCTTGTTTATTTAAATGAGACAAACATAAGAAAGGCCTTGCTTGATCATGTTCAGCTCGACAACAGCTTATTTATGTTTATATGTCTTTTAATTTTGATGAACTATATCTATTAATTTGATCTCCTTTAACCACAAATTCAACATTTCTCTCGTTCTTTCTATTGCATGAGGAGGTTTATTTGGTTAGGCCACATCAAGTTTGAGAGTCGACCACAAGGGCCATGTGAGCAGTTTCCGGCATCATTAAGGTCATAGCGCGGGGGCTGAGTCGTTCAATTGCTCGAATTGATGTATTATGGATTTGCTCAAATCAGATAAATTCAAAATACATCAAGGAAAAAACATAGATGGTGTATTCTCAATTCCTTCAAATATTACTTTGCAATGGCTTTATTTTCACCCAAGCGCCCAAAATTACCAAGTAAAAGCACTCACTTTGTTATACAAATCCTTGCATTGCTACACATTTCATGAGCCATTCCTTTGAATTTGAACAATCACATATTCTCATCAATCAAGTAAATACATACGACTCGTCCTATAAATTTACACATCGAACACCTAAACTTCACTTTTACATACATATGATATTTTTTTTATGACATGAAATTTTTGGGCAGTATAAATATAAAAATTAAAGGTCAGGTGTTTAGATATGTAAATCATCATTTAGGGTCACAACCATGAGCTTCAAAATGTGGAAATACAACAAATGCAATGGACATAGGAGCTAATGTTATGGGTGCATTAACTGCAACAAAAACTGGTCTTAGCTCTGGAATCTCTCCCGACTCTGTAATCTGCAGAGGACTTCCATTCAGAAGCATTATCCTGCTAAGATAGTCTCCATCCTTGGCAGTTAAATGATATTCTTCTCTTGTTAGAAACCCACCTAAAGCTTTCCTTCCAATCCACGAAACCGAACGTTTCATATTACGAGTAAAAGAGCCATCTTTCCGAACGCCTTTTTCCGTTAGATCGATGTTCAGATCATTTTGCACCGTCGTGTTAAAAGTTGTGGTTTCGCTGTAGTTGATCAAGAGCAAGGCAACACCGGGCTGCAATGGATGTTTAAGAAACACTGTTAAGGTAAATTTCAACTGGGGGCATTTTACATGTATACCATGCAATTCTTATATATTTGCATAACAACTAAACTTTCATGTTTATAAACATTACAGTCTAATCTTTAATATCATATAAGAAAAAATATCATTACTAACTTTTTAAAAGTGAAAGGCACATTTTCATGCATAGGTTTATAACATAAAAGTGTTATAAATGTAAAAAATCAAACTTTACGTGTTAACTATGTAAAAACAAAGGAATTGTGTGGCGTGTTGCTTAAAGATTCATTATTTTATGTGTTTTTATGAAAATGTGATGATTTTGTTGAACTTTCTTGATGATGAAGTAGATTCTTACTCCAGATTTTCTGCAATGAGCATAAGCTTTCAAGAATGGAGATCCATTAATATCAATAGCAAGAACACCTGTCCCCATGAGCTGATGCCAAAGCAGTGCACTGGTGACAATTACAAAAAAGAGGATAAATTTTCAGAATATCACTGTATAAGTTTATGGGGGCATTTACATACATACCACTCAATTCTTATGTATTTACATATCTAACATCTAAATTTTTCGCATCACATCAAAGACACCACCATTTTAAGTTTTAAATTGTGAAGTACACCTTTTCATGCGGTGGCGTGTAGGTAAATATTGAAGTTTAGTTGTTAGAAATGTAAATTCATTTGTGTTGTATGTATGTAAAATCTTCCTAAATTATTAATAGTTAGCAAGTGCTTGCCTGTAGTAATCAGGATTTGGAATGAATGTTTCTTTGTCAAGGAGGCCATAGTTGCCTCCAATCAATGCCTGTCTGCAATAAACCTTGGTGTTGTACTTAGATGCCATTCCTAGTTGATCCAAGTACCTGAGTAAAATGGTTTGGAAGTAATGCAATTTAGCTTTAGGAAAGTTGAAAACAATGGGTTCTAAATTGCTTAAAAATTATACAAAATTTGAACCGAGTCTCGCTTTTGACTCAAAATAAGTTGAGTGGATTTCAATTTTGATTTAGTGGAGTTGGCGTAACAATTGAACATTCTAGGTTGAGTGAACCAAACTACCCGCTCGAATCAATTGCATAAATAGTCAAGTAGGAATCAATATTATTATTTGCATTTGAGTTAAATTCACTCGAACTTCACTCGATATTACGATATTATCTTTTAGATGAATCTTAAATGAAAACCAAAAAAGAGCATCAATCTCAATAAGCTATTCAAATATCAATTTTGAACTCGGTTGATTTTTAGTCAAATCAGAATCGAAAGGTTTCGAGTTCCATCCAACTCCAATCACTTGGAACCAACTTCAAGTCAAGCATAAATAAAATTTTGGGATAAACTGAGGGGTTTACAAAACAATCATCCATATCATTTGTTTGAACTATCAAATTAATGTAATTACGATTGCCTTAGTCAGCCCATTAGTAATTTGACAAAAATAAAAAATAATGGGAAAGGGTTTTATTATGAATTCTATGTGTTGGTTAGAATTGGACAATGTATTAGTTTTTGTAAATATCAAAATTTTAGGTAATTATACTTGCAATCGCCCCAAATCCTTTTTGCAATCAAATAAAGTTCACTTAAATTTGGATCAATTTCAGCCCTAAATGATTCTCAAGTGAAAAAGTAAAAATATAAAAATAAATCAAAGACAAGCTATTCAAAATTGCATTTTAGACCATATAAAAGAATAAATAAAGCAATTTACCAAAAGCTATTTAGGAAGGTGTTGGAGACTAGAGAGCTGCCACTATTGTAGACACCACCAGCCTCACCAACCCAGGCAGATGACCAAGGCCCATGCTCCTCTATGGTGTGTTGGACAGCTCTGAATGTATCTGCAGCCCCACTTAAATAAATTGGATCTTTAATTCTGTCTGCAATATGTGGGTCATCACCTGAAATAATAAGAATTTGAAATTATTATTCTTTTGAAATTTTCAAGTAATTTCTTATTCATTATGAAACTATAGTATTAATATCTTATCCTTGCCTAGTTAAAATATTAAAGGAGGGGAAATTTGCATACATACCACAGGATTCCTTTGTATTTACATATCTAAGACCTAAAGTTTAATATTTAGGTTTAAAACATTAAAACACTTTAGTTTCATGAACTTATGCATGAAAAAAATGTACTCACTGTTAAAAAGTGCGTAGTGATTAGTATTTTTGATGTGATATTAAAGATTAGAGTGTTATGTATGTAGTTATGAAAGTTTTTGTGTTAGATATGCAAATTCATAAGAATTATGTGGTATGTATTTGATTTGTCTTGACTTTGGGCATTTACATACATACCATCCAATCCCTATGTATTTATATATATAACACCTAAACTTTGCTTTTTATATTTATACCACCCAAAACGTTTGTATTACAAAAAAAAAAAAAAAAACCACTTTTTTAACTTTTAAAAAGTGAAATACACATTTTCATACATAGAGGTAAGATAGCATACATATATAAAAATTGAAGATTAAGGATTAGATATGTAAATCATAAGATACTAACACTTGTCGTGTCGGCGTTATATATAAAAAAAATATTAAAATTTAGGTGTCATATCCATATTGAAATTCTATGGACTATATGGTATGTATGTAAATCCCACAATTTCATTCTTTTTTTTCATGTGCAAGAAATTAAGGAAAATATATTAGTCCCATATGAATTTATACTCACCTCCACCCAGATTATATATGTGATGTGTTAAGGCATCGAGCACATTAGGCCCAGAAGCCTCGAGCAGCTCAGCATACCACTGTGGATCGTTAAAAAACCCTCCAGGTGCTACCAGCAATGGCTTTGTTTCGGAATTTCTGTACAGATTTCCAAGAATACCTTTCAAGGAAATTAAATCTCTTGCATATTGGTCTGAATCAACACTTGCTCCTATTCCATGCCCACTCAACTCATTTCCTGAATCATTTAAGAGGAAAATAGAGAAAATTATAACCACTTTGTTTTTGTTTCTGGAAGATTTACATATGTACCACACAATTCTAATGTATTTACATACTTAACACCTGAACTTCAATTTTTATGTGCACACCGCCACATTATCAATATGCATGAAAAGGTGCGTTTCACTTTTTAGAAGTTAAAATAGTGGTATTTTTTATGTGATATGAAAGATTTGGGTGGCATAAATGTAATATGAAAGATTTGGGTGGCTGAAAGATTTGGGTGGCATAAATGTAAAAAAAAGTAAAGTTTAGTTGTTAGATATATAAATACATGGGAATTAGGTGGAATGTATGTAAATGCTCTTCTTTTTTCAAGATTTACATACATACCACTCAAATCCTTTGTATTTACATATTTAACACCTAAGCTTTAATTTTTACATATATGGCACCTTACCTAAAGGTGTATTTCACTTCTCAAAAGAGAAAATGGTGGCATTTTTATGTGATATAAAAGATTTTGGCTGTAGAAATGTAAAAAGTTAAGTTTAGGTGTTATACATGTAAATACAGAGGAATTGGGTGTTTTGTATGTATATGCCCCTTTTTGGAAGATTTAAATACATACAAGTCAATTCCGTTGTATTTACATAACTAACACCTAAGCTTCAATTTTTACATAAATGCCACCTTGCCTATGCATGATATTGCACTTTTTAAAAGTTACAACGGTAATATTTTTTTATGTGATATAAAAGATTTAGGCATTTTTTTTCTAAATAAATATGATCAACATTAGTGATCTTAAGATGGTTAATAATAATATTAAGTTTTATTTTACTGTCACATTGGTAAAAAAAGATTTTGACGAGGCTTCAAAGAAAGCAAAATGTGAAAAGTCAGTAGGACCTGATGATATCTCAATTGAAGTGTGGAAATATTTAGGAGATTTGATAGTAATTGTTAAAGTTATTAGCAATGCGGAGATGACTCACCAAACTCCCACGAAGTAACGGGATATCCCTTGGAAACCGTGTATTCAATGAAATCGCGAGCATTGGTCGAGTTCCAGGGGCCTTGCCAGAAACCCTCACTACCTTGTTGTCTCCCTTGAAGAGCATTTAGGCCAAATATGGCTATTGCCCTGTAAAATATAGCATGAATATTACAACTCTTTATGTTGTACAAAAAATTGCATGGGGCATTTACAAATCTTATTTATTTGCATATCTATCACCAATATTTTACTTTTCATATTAATACCAACCAAATATTTCATATCACATCAAAATACCATCATTTAACCTTTAAAATTTGAAATACACCTTTTCATCCATTGGTAAGGCATCCTGCATGTAAAAATTGATATTTACAAGATAATTATCCAAGTAATTTTTTTGAACTACCAAATCGATGTATTTTTTGTGTGTCATGATGAAACTATTGAGAATTTTACAAAAATGAAAAATATGGGTCGGTTTTACCATGAATTTTGATACTTGAGTGAGAATTTGAAAAATTGAATGGAAGAAGGTGGTTGATTTGTAAATAACAAGTTTCAGGTGGTTTGTATGTAATTGTCCCTTTATTTAATAAAAAAATTATATAAATAATAGAAAGAACAACAAGGAGTTTTTGAAGAATTATTACCCTGTATTCTGAAGAAAACGGTTCATCTCATCCCATCTTTGCATGCTCAAACAGCCTGTTGAAAAACCAAAAAGTCCAGAAGCAGACACAGATAATGGGACACAATCTTGGTTCGAACTTCCCACATCATACGTGATCCGATCTTGCAGAGTGCCTCCAATTCTTATCCTTAGTGGATTAAATGCTGATAAAATACATCAAAAAAGAAAAAAAAAATTTTTTTGTGAGATAAAAATGCAAAAAACTTGATAAAATGAATAAAATCATCACAATTCAATAATATTTACAAAAGGACCTAAGGTGTAGTGTTACTTTATCCTTAAAAATTGTAATCATAATGGTCAGGAATCAAAATTATCTCAAAAAAATACATTAAATGATCAACCAATCCATAAGAAACACGAACCTTTGATGGCCGCCGATAGGTATGGATTCTTCAAATCCTAAGAGCACCCAAAAAAAAAAAAATTATTCCTAGTTTTTTATTAGTCCCAAAATAGTCTCCTAACTCTTTGCATAGAATTATTTTACTCCCAGAGACAATAAAAGTATCAATTTAGTCCCTAGATTTTTTAATATGCGCTAAAATAGTCCACTGTGGGGGTTATTTTAACCCCAATTTAAAGAGTCTAGGGATTAATAACCCCATGTAAATAGTCAAGGGGTTAATTTGACACTTTACTCAATTCAAAAAACAAACTAACTCTCAAAAAAAGAGGCATTTACATATATATCACACAATTATTATGTATTTACATATCTAACATATAAATGCCCATATTTACGTACATAACACTCAAATATTTAACATCACATAAAAATACTACTATTACTAACTTTTCAAATATGGAATGCACATTTTCATGCATAGGTTTACGTTATAAATGTAAATATCAAAATTTAGGCGTTGGACATGTAAATAAATAGCAATTGTTTGGTATGCATGTAAATTTTCCTTAAAAAATTATAAAAAATCAAATCTTACCAAATTTAGAACAGAAGCCCTTCCCCATGGGCAATCTTTACCAATACACTTCTCAGGTGGCCACCAATCTATGGTGGCACAAATAAAACTATCATCAGTCTCAGCCACTGTAACAGAGCCCTGAATAATAACTGTTACATTCCCATTGCCTTGAGAAAAAACCACAGGAAGACAGCACAAGAGCAGAATCCATAAAACCCCTAACACCATTTCAGTAGCTCTGATTCTTGCCTAAAAAAGCTGAAATTTTTTTCAATAAAATCATAATAAGTACTCCTCAGAATAAAATGTAAAATAAATGCTTTAAAATTAGTACCAACCAGTTTGTTGATGTTTTATATGAAGAAAAGGAGCAATTTCTTGCACTATTTATATTGCTGAGAAGTTAAGAAAAAAAACTTTTTTTATGTTTCTTTTCATTAAAGACAACCTAAGAAGTTTTGTGAACAAAGCAACTAAGCCAATTTACCAAAGAATAAGACAATGAGGTGGTTTATGGATTCAAAACACCAACAGCTGAGGACTAGTTCTTAAACTGGAAAGATAAATTGAATGAAGAGTTGTGTTCAGATTGTTCTGTAAGATCCATCAAAGAGTTCAAATTATTGATTGGATCAGGCACGAATCCAAAGTCAACTGACGATTGAGCATGCACAGATCAAGCCTGCATGAAACAGTCAACTACCGAATAAAGCTTGGATAGGGTCAAACTTGGACTGAGCCTGTTCAGATCAAGCTTGGATCAAAGAGTTGACTAACGAACAATGCTTGGATAGAAACTTGAATCAAGCATGCTTACATTAAGCTCAAATCTAAGAGTCAACTAATGAACAAAGCTTGGATAAGGTTAAAACATAAACTGAGCCTGCTCAGATCAAGCTTGAATCAAAGAGTCAACTAACGAATAACGCTTGGTTAGGCTTAAACTTCAATTGAGCATGTTGAAATCAAGCATGAATCAAAGAGTCAACTAACGAATAAAACTTACTTGAACTGAGCCAAGCGTTAATCTAGTAGAGCTAATATGAGAAATGCATAAAAATGCATATGCATATCTAAAGGTGTAGGTGAGCCAAGTCGCCTCGTGAGCTGGCTTACGCTAAGCGGCTCATAAATTGAGCTCATTGATATAACAAGTGAAGCTCGAGCCAACTCCGACTCGACTCGTTAGACGTTGAGTCGACTTGTTTAAAAGAATATTAATATAAAATATGTTCAAAATATATTAAATTTCAATATTTTATATGTAAATTATTTATCAAGTAGTTTCTTATTATTTGTCTCCTAATTGTTCATTATATTTATCATTTTATTATAACACTAACTTAAATTAATATTATTTTTTCTCTTTTATAATAAACAAGCACGCTCATGAGCTGGCTCGAACTCATAGACTTGAGCTCGAGCTCAGACTTGATTAATTTTCAAGCTCAATCTAAAACTCAAGTTCACGATCACTCGAGCTAGACTCAACTCACTTACACCCCTATTCATACGTACATGCATGCGCACGCACACCCTTGCACACATGAACATACAATTAAAAAATTGAGCATGCACGCACACATGCATATACAAAATATCTTATGAAATAAAAAAGTTATTGAGACAGGATCAATTATCTTCATGAAACAAGTTTGAATCGAAGTTATTCTTAGCTGAATTGAGCCAACTAATAGCCATTTGTGACTTGGTTCAACGAACTTCATATCAAATAAAAAAACATCAAATCGCTCTTGTATCATGATTGGATGACCACAAACCTAGGCTACTTGGTATCAAAAAAATATCAAACGACATCCACTAATGTCATTGAACCAAGTAGAAGGCATTTACATACATATCACCCAATTCTTAAATATTTACATATCAAACACCTAAATTTACTTAATACATTTATACCACACAAATCTTTCATATCATATAAAAAATATCACTATTATCATATAAAAAATATCACTATTTTAACTTTTAAAAAGTGAAATACATATTTTCATGCATAAGTAACCTGGCATATATGTGTAAAAATTGAATTTTAGTGTTAGATATATAAAAATGTAAGAATTAAGTGGTATGTATGTGAATCTTCCAAAAAATATAATTGTGAACACAAGCTCAAGCACAAAACAAAGTGGGTTCTTTTTTTTTTTCCTCTCATTTTCCTATGGAACTCATCAAATAACTAATACCAAGATAAACTAAGAAGGGTGAAATCAAAGCTTTAATTAATCGCCCCAAATGTAATGAGGGATGAGGATAAAAGAATAATTTAAAATTAAAAACTTCATAATACACATATTTCTCAAAGCTAAAGAAAGCAAGAGACAACCAGTAATCCCTAACTCCGCCGTTGCCTTAAAATACGAGCTTTCCACAAGCCAAATTCTCATGAAGTCATCCATATGTCACATATTGCAGGATTGCAATAATCTAAACATAGTTTCTATAAAAATCAGAAAAATAATATATATATATATATATAG